ATATATAAATATAAATCTATAGCTTCATATAGTAGATGTCAACTAGCAGTGGAAGCTGGGTGCGATATAGTATGCAGTGGCTTAGGGTCCACACTTCGGTGGCGACCGCACTCTCCTGCGTACCCCGAGCAAAGCCTATCGCAGGTGATCTCGGGGTCTGATGGGCGGAAGCTTGCTATTGCATCTCCCAAGTAGGATAGCGTGGAGGGGCCGAAATCTGCTACCGAAACGTTAACATGCCGCGTTTTAGTGCCTTACGCTTAAGAAGGTATCGGGAAGCATGGACCGAAAACGGGGTTTTTTTCCTTTCAAAATTTGTCTTTTTTCTTTACAAGAATTCTTCTCATAAAAGAAACTAGAACATACTGCCAGGGTTCAGACAACTTCTGAAAATCCCCCCGGGCGTAGTTTCGTTTTCTTTGTAAAACGAGAAGAATACTAACTTGAAAACATGAAGACTGGGTGACATAATATTTACCATAAACTAAGACAAGAAATGTTTATTTTACTCTGTGACATCACTTTACTTTAAAGTGAAAGGTTTGAACATGGGAGTATCGTTACATGTTTGTAGATGTAGATCGTCCAGGTTAGTAAAGTCCTGAAAAGAACTGTTGTTGTTGATGCTGACTCTAAAGATGACTACCGCTAAGGTTGTTAAGAAGTCAGTCAACATCAACATCAACAGTCCTTCGCAGGACACCACTAACCTCGACGATCTACATCTACAAACATCTACTTCACTTACTCGGCTATCTTCTTTAATTCAAGACTACAGTGTGTTACATCGTTGTCGACAAAGCTACAATGGAAAATAGGGAAAAAAAGTTGTACATCGGAAAAGAAAACCATGTCATCAACATAGAAGTGAACAAAAAAATTTCTAACAAACACCGTCAATTTTCGTCAAAATAAAATTTCGTGTATTTTTCAGTTGTACCTTAAATCCAAAATTTGAGTGGCTGGTGATATGATACTGGTCTGTGATGAAACGGTGAACATTAATTTTGATTATTAAAAATTATCTACAATGCAATCGTTTGCAATCAATTTCTATATAGCTGCACACCTCTCTATTTAAGCAACATGTTTGTATAACTTGCACAAACGACTATATTGTGGTATGGAAATAAAGCAGTAGACGTAAAGGTACAAAGTACTGAGAAGAGGGATATACTTCACGAGGCAAATTGTTGTTTTATATTGTATATGATGACAGGTTGCGGTAAGCCATTTCGGCGTTCCTTTGGCCAGAAAACATAATTGACCGGCAGCCATTTCGTTGATCACGTGCACAAGAAGACATAAGTTACATACAAACAAATGGTAAATTTTGTAAATAGCTTTGGCTGATGGCGGACCAATATACTGTTTGATGTCGGCTCTGTGGGCGAACAAATAGCGAAGTTAGATGAGAAAGTGAATTAAAAACTTTCGAGTCACAAACATATTTTCAACCTGTCCACGAACGCAACGTCTATGGCTCTAGTTATGTTCGATGTTGTCAATATAATTACATTAGGATGTCTGAAATAAGAAGAAAACAACATTGGGGAAGACTAGGTTTAGCAAATAAACGCATAAATGTAGTTCAAATCAAGACTTCTGTAAATACGTAATTGATAGATAATAAGTATTTGACTGAGCAAAGTTGTCATCAAGCAAGTTTGTTCATGTCATATAAATATTTTCGTGCTTTTACTCCCTGTAAAAGCGACAACATTGTAGAGAAAGAAATAATACATAGTTCTAAAGATAGCAAATACCATAGTGAATGGTAAATGTAATATAATAAGTTGATAAAGACTGTTGTCTTGGCATTATAAATATCGGTAGATTGTAAATTTTCATTCAGCAGACGTTGACACCTGAGGAGTAGTCTGCCGAAATGCATCGTGTCGTTTAATTTAGAACTATTGGGTTAGTGCTCTTTACTTACAACAGTTCTTGTAAGAACTATCAACTTATTATATTACTTTTACCATTTACTATGGTATTTGCTATCTTTAGAACTATTTTCTACAAAGTCTCTATTTTATTAAATAATACATAACGCAACAACCCTGCCGGCTGGCCTCGCCGTTCATATAACCGAATACAATCTCTTAGTTCACTAAAAAATCCATGAGAACGCAATGTTCGCCGAAATGCATATTCTGCTTATATTTTGCATTTACAGTTTTATATGGTCAATTTGAGTGAGAAATGCATTCACAACACGAATGGCATCTGAAGGTTCTTGTCCGTTCAACGCAGATTTTCTTGCCGATGTTAAACTTTCAACCTTCAGAAGTAAAAGATATGGATAGCAAAGGTATTTTCCTTAAACATTACCGACAAGCGTACATGTGCTTCGGGTATTTTGTGAAACAAGAAACACAAATAGTAAATGATTTCTCATCTATCTGACCATGAGCATTAAGAAAGAAATGTTTAAGCAAAGTTTACCTCGTCGATAAGAACGCAAACTAAAGCTTATTTGTCGTCAATAAACTCTTGAATTTTCTGAAACATTTTCATCATTAACTTTCCACTCTGTTTGTAGGGAAAGATAATGTCAATGTACATTTTAAATTACAGATGCTTTTTAATTGGATATGATCATTTTGTGATACGGAACTAGATTTATTAACTTCAACGACATCTCAATCCCAGGTATATAAATGTCAGTTTTCTGAACTGATATTTTGATGTGAGCCGTGCATTTTATATTGACAGGGGGTGACGACAAAGGTTTCACGGAAAATTTATGGCAATGTAATTTTTGGTTCCAGAGGATTTTCGCACTCGGTGATGTTGCTTTGAGCTATTCAAAATGATGCCTACCTCGGAAAATAAACTGTGAATGTTTATTTCAATAAGCTGGCCATAGTTAAATCTAAGGATTCAAAAGTAGAAACACACTTTAATTTATAGTTCATAATCCTTAGGTAGACGACAATTTCATTAAAAACAAAGTAAAAGATAATGCCAAAAAAGAACATCTTGTAAACTTAAATAAAAGTTACAAAGCAAAACAATTGAAAGTGTAATATTTACATTTTTAATCGTCTTGTTTTCTAAATTTGATGTTGAGTTTACAACATTTTTCGGATATAACCTTTTTCGGATTATACTTTGTATTTATAATTCACGACATAACAATAAAATTACGTGGCAATATTAGTTGCATTACACACATGGATAGTAATGGATTGCGATTTACGTAACATCAAAATAAAATGTAGTGTTTTTACCTTTTAGAAAGTCGTATGGATAATTTTTGAGCAAGCGCCTTGCATAAGGATGTTTCACCAGTACCGGTTGGCTCTGTGAAAGTTTTAAAGAAAAGCTCAACTCATTCTTCTGGATATTTGCAGTAGATCACGTGAAGACAAACATGATGTACTATGAGTGGTAAATGCTGGTGTTTGATTGGCTTCGTTGTTTGTTTTCGAGTGACGTCACAGCGGTACACAAACATGGTAGCCTTGACGTCATTTAATAGTTGGCTCGTTAAAACACCATCACGTCTCTCGCGTTTCATTCTATCTGATTGTAGCTAACTTATTCTTATCAATACTTTGATATGTGATTTTTCAATCTTGAATGTTATGAGTGATAAGAGATTTACTCCGTTAAGATGAGAGTTGTTACAAAGTCAACACACGCAAAAATAGAATCTAATTTGATTCGTAAAAAGATACACGTGACGGACGATGACGCAAGGACTCACGTCTGGTTACCAAGGAAACTAACTTACCATGCAATAAGGTAACTTTATTTCACGAGATGATGTTGAAATCCACGCCTCTAAAATATGATTCAAACACGTGACTAATATATACTTTGAAAATGTCATTGTTTGGGAGTGATTTTAAAAAGATGGAAAAACGAACGATTTTGCAATTTGGCTTCTCTAAAAAGTCTTCAGTTCAATAGTTTCATTTCACACGACAAACCTGTCGGAGAAGAGAAGTGTCGTTGCCGCATATTTTAGCAACTAAAAAAATAAGATAAAAATGAGATACATGAAATATCATAGTCATGGCACGACATATACTTTCGTAAATAAATTAGAACAACAAAATTTTTAACATTTTTTAATCGATATAACTCGCTAGAATTGCTGAGATGTGTATTTTAATGTTTACTAAGTAAGCTTTGTCACCACTACGGTGCACAATGTCATCGCTTGCGTAAACCTTTTGAAAATATTAGAGATTAATAAGTTAGCAGATCAGTAACTCCGTTGATCAGTAACTCCGAGTACATAATGTACATTGGAAAATAGGAGAAATTAGGAAAATCCTTAAAAAATCTATTTGACGTTTTGACAGCTAACTGTTTAAACGTTAACTTATTTCGGCGCTAAAGACGTCCTTAACAAGCTACAATTTAAACTTCGCTCACGAGAGAAATCATTAAATGTTCATTATGAAGAACAACCTGATTTTTCACATCCGAGTCAAAGAGCAAGCTTTCCCACAAGCCCTGAAAAAATGATGAATTAATTGTATTAGTTGCTAATACTTATAACTCGTGAAAGCGAAAAGACCTGGGACTGAAGTGAGTTGACCACCTGCAGGCAAAATTTACCCACCTGTAGGCAAAAGCCAGTTGTCTGGAGCAGATATATCATCCTCAAGTTCTTCATATCCATGCCCCCCATCATGAAGTTGATAGACATGATACTTTAGCATAACTTTTTCAAATCAATTATCTGTTAAAAGAATTATGAAGGTTTGACAGAAATATGTACTTCATGTAAATCTTCATTATCAAACTAAGTCAATCCTCTAAGAGTTCTTGCATTTTTTTTCCGTGGGGTTCAACAAAAGGGATGTGTGACATACCAGGGGGGTGTGAACAACCTACTCTCACACATGCGAAAGTAAATATTGTCTGATCATAGGGTCAATAACCTTGCCATATGTTGAAAAATTATCTGTGTCATACACAATAGTTATGCTCTTGACATGTTCCATTAAAAAGGATCAACAAATTCTACGAAACATGAGTCGCCATGAATTGTTTTCATGTTGATAAGAAAGTCTTTGACAAGCTTTATAATTCTATACTCTGGGATAGTGCTAAAATAAAGTGGTAAATACTATTAAGATGTTAATGCTTATTATCAAATTGAATAAATGGTTTTGTTCACGTTTTGACAGCACAGTGGTATTTGAAGAAGTGAGTCTGTTGAAGCACAACATATGACCAGTGACGTCAATCTAGTAACATATTAAAATTATTCAAGTTTCTTTACAAAACAAAAACATGATTTGTTCATTACCTAGTTTCACCTGTAGCATGGTTTCACTAACACAGACTCACTCAACTAGATTATTACATGAAATGCAATTCAATATCCTTCTGCATACAGTCCTTTGTTCATATTATGAACTAACCTTTCTTTGCATTCATTTACTTCGACGTTTAAGAATGGCTGACTTGGTAAAGGCAGTGCTTCAGAAAGTTCTTGAACTTTATCCATTTTAACGATATTGCTTTAGTTAGAGATGTTATACAAAAGATTATTCACAATATTGGCTGTGTAGGAAAAAAAACTTAAATATCTTTGCTATGTAGAAATAAAAAATAAATATCGTTTCAATTTCCCGCTATGAAACTCAAAGTCAGACTCAGGCATAACAATAACATATATATCTATTACCTTGTTTCAGCTTTCAAAAAAAACTTCATATGTTCTTTAAAATATTATTTGTCTTTCACTCTTTTACAACAGATAAGTGGAGAGAAATATTCTTGCGGAGAACGAATGCTTGTGAGGTTTAAAAATTAAAAAATTGTTATGTTGTTTTCTTGGAAGACGATATATAACTTTTACATGAAGTAGTTAACATGATAACGATGGTCAAATGTGGTCTTATTTCTAAGGAAATTTCTCAGAAAAGAATGGCCTATTTGAAGGAAATTTCTGGAAATTTCTCAAAAAATTAATTGTTTGGACAAATTCTTGGGCAATTCTTAAATTTTTACAAATTTATATACACGCTTTTAATCGTGCTTGTTTTACAATATTTACAGTTGAGTCATTTTGGAAAACTGTATAAAACAAGATGAAGCATATGAAGTAAGAACAGAAGACTTTGTTACAACGATTCCGTCATTGTAGCAAACATATCCTAGAGCTTAATCTGAGGGGTGATGGCTCACCTGTATCACCATAGGATGCTTCTTGACATACGGTACATGATAATACGTCAATCATCCCCAAAATAACTGAATAAAACCAACGTAATCCCTTCTCGTATAGAACGTCCTGTTCAAATCCAGCCAATCCAACTGTCTGAACAAAGCAATAATTTTTTTCATGAACTGTTTGAATAGAATATATCTATTTTTGAATGTTGTGTCAAGTGTCAATAAAGTGTTAAAGAAAACAATAAGCAAAAGTTGGAACATTAACGTCTACGTAATCACAAGCATAAGCAACGAGCGTGCTTATGACTCTCTCGAGGGTTTACAGAAAAAACATCAAAATCATATTCTTCTTTTCAATATTTTATACTTCTTTCAGCTTAGGAAACAACATAAAAATAACACCACGCTTTTATGGGCAAATTTATTCCTAAAGCTCCTCCCACCCACTCAAAAGAGCGAAGTTACACCATTACACAGGCTTAAGGAAATGTGTTAGGCATTAGCTGAAAGAAGAACACAAAAAGAACATGAGAAAAACGAAAGAAGATTTCCATGTCTTTCTGTGTAAACTCTGAAGAGAAAAAGAAATAAAGTTTTATCGTTTATGCTTATTCTATTCGTATGTACCATGCATTCAATTTTGTTTTCTCATGAGACCTAAAAGACCAGGAAAACGGAAATTCTTTTGAATATTGTTTTGTTTATGCTCATGTTGATTCTAATCCTTCATTTATTCTGTCTTGTTTCACAATTAATAATCACTTTTGCTTGTGCTGTAAGACTAGTATGACCAAAGACAGCACCAAAAGCACCTTCTCGTTGTGTAACTTTGCCATTGGAAGTTGAAAAGAAGAAAATCATTTTTCTATGACAGCCACAGGCTAAGAAACTCAATTTTAAAACAAATAATTTAAAAGTGTACACGGTTAAGAATCACTGACGATAATAAGAAAAGATGGCAATGAAGTGAACGCAAGAGCAGGGTGTCACAATAATTTATGATGCTGAACATACTAAATTATTTGATCAGAGAGCCATGTTAAAGTACTAAGAAGTAACCAAAGTGATTAGTGATTTATTAACGAACATAATAAGTTCATGGTGCGATGATTTCCGATACTGAAAAAATCAATTCATTTCTCTCGTATTCTATATTTCTAGACAACAAAGTTGACTTCAAGATGTTGCTAACGGAAGAAACAGATCATCCTTCGACCCAAAACATCCTTCTTCATTGTCCATATCAATAATTCGACCGACCAACAGAGAGCTAGCTTATGTTTGATTATTGCCTAGTTCTGACACGTGCTTGATTTGGTAATAACTGGGGGATTTGGTAGTAAAGAGATGTGTTGTACTTGTGCAACAACTGACTGGCGCTTCTATATACCATGGAGTAATTTTGTAGATGTTAGCACAAATCAGTTAACATGCTTTAGAGCATGTTAATATAAAGTGCTTCTTGCGCTCATATCTTGTGTAAAATTAAAACAAAATCTAATTTACATTAAATCAATCATCATGGTTGAAAAGAGAAATTGCAATACGCTGGCAGAGTATTGCAAAAATCTTTAAACTCAACATCTATGCGAAATGATAATCACGAGCCAGTCAGACTAGCCGTCTACTTTGAATATTTAATGGTTTATTTGTGCCTATGATTGCACTGTTATAATATTGAGGGATGTTATAACAGTGTCTACAAAGCAATAAAAAATTTAACTTCCGGTGATGTTCTAATGTTTGGTAAATGATTTAGCCAAAATAGCTATTTTGTATGATTGTATAGAACTATTGCAATCATAAAGATAATTCCTCGGGAGAGGAAACTGTTTCCAAATTTTCGAATCCAACTTGAGGGCTCGTCATGAATGCTCGTCTGTCCATTATGTTCAATGGAGATGATTGACTTCGTTTGAAAAATCTGACAGTAACTTTTGTGCCATAAAAGTAAACCTTTCCTGTAAATGTTTGCAGTTTACAGCTGTTTTCTGGAAATCATCGTAAAGTACCAGTTTTGATAGAAATTTCGACAGATCGTCTGCAAACACTGGTTTTTGAAAATTTATATGCTCCTACAGTTTGTCATGATTGTATTTTAACATTATTCTTACAGTTATTCATGGCACTGAACGATGAAGATTGAGACTGCGGTATGTGTTTGTTTGTCAGTTGTTTGCTTGTTTGCTTCATCATACTGCAACTTTTTCCTCAGTATTTTTCAGATGCAGAGGTCGATAAGATCAAGAATAGCAGAACAGAGATGTAAGCATGTATTTGTTTGTATCGTTCATCAAATCTTCTTTGCTTCAATTTCTTTCAGAACCACATTGCCGTAACCTGTCATTGTCAAGCAACGCTTCTTGCAGTAAGTTAAACCAATATTTATTACTTATTTTTGGAGAAGATATTAAAATTTAAAGAAGGCATGTTTCGAGAAGACAAAATTTTCGACTTCCATTCTTCGGTGTTTGCAGATGATCATAAACATGCACAAAACACAAAAACATGCACATAAAAGATTTTTACAATATTCTAACTAAACTAGAGAGTTCCCTCGCTCTCTAATTTAGTGAAGAATTTCAAAAGAAATTCAAGTATTCCAAAAGAGACTTCTGCCACCTATTTTGAAATAACTTGCACAAAATTTCAAGCAGCGTACACTTGATATTCTCATAGAAATTTTTTGTAATTAAAATAAGATCATACGTATGTAATATAAAATTTGACTAAATCAAAACAATTTTTCAAATGATAGCCAAGTATTCGAAACTTCGATGTAAACTAATAGAATTTGTATGAATACAATTAATAAGAACTTACTGTTTGTTCATTCTTGGAGGAAGATTGGGTGGTTGGAAATGGCATTAATTTTTTGGGAAACGGATGTTTTATATGGACCGTTTACATTCTATATAATAAGTCGTTCATGTTTTGATTGACGTTGTCAGTCAGTGAATTGTAAGTCAAGATGTATCAACTATGAAATACAACCGGAAATCCTTATATATATGTGTCTCTATGTATTGTGTTCAAGAGTAAAACAATCTTCCTTATTATATTACATTTACCATTCACTATGGTATTTGCTATCTTTAGAACTATGTATTATTTCTTTCTCTACAATGTTGTCGCTTTTACAGGGAGTAAAAGCACGAAAATTTATATGACATGAACAAACTTGCTTGATGACAACTTTGCTCAGTCAAATACTTATTATCTATCAATTACGTATTTACAGAAGTCTTGATTTGAACTACATTTATGCGTTTATTTGCTAAACCTAGTCTTCCCCAATGTTGTTTTCTTCTTATTTCAGACATCCTAATGTAATTATATTGACAACATCGAACATAACTAGAGCCATAGACGTTGCGTTCGTGGACAGGTTGAAAAATATGTTTGTGACTCGAAAGTTTTTTAATTCACTTTCTCATCTAACTTCGCTATTTGTTCGCCCACAGAGCCGACATCAAACAGTATATTGGTCCGCCATCAGCCAAAGCTATTTACAAAATTTACCATTTGTTTGTATGTAACTTATGTCTTCTTGTGCACGTGATCAACGAAATGGCTGCCGGTCAATTATGTTTTCTGGCCAAAGGAACGCCGAAATGGCTTACCGCAACCTGTCATCATATACAATATAAAACAACAATTTGCCTCGTGAAGTATATCCCCTCTTCTCAGTACTTTGTACCTTTACGTCTACTGCTTTATTTCCATACCACAATATAGTCGTTTGTGCAAGTTATACAAACATGTTGCTTAAATAGAGAGGTGTGCAGCTATATAGAAATTGATTGCAAACGATTGCATTGTAGATAATTTTTTAATAATCAAAATTAATGTTCACCGTTTCATCACAGACCAGTATCATATCACCAGCCACTCAAATTTTGGATTTAAGGTACAACTGAAAAAATACACGAAATTTTATTTTGACGAAAATTGACGGTGTTTGTTAGAAATTTTTTTGTTCACTTCTATGTTGATGACATGGTTTTCTTTTCCGATGTACAACTTTTTTTCCCTATTTTCCATTGTAGCTTTGTCGACAACGATGTAACACACTGTAGTCTTGAATTAAAGAAGATAGCCGAGTAAGTGAAGTAGATGTTTGTAGATGTAGATCGTCGAGGTTAGTGGTGTCCTGCGAAGGACTGTTGATGTTGATGTTGACTGACTTCTTAACAACCTTAGCGGTAGTCATCTTTAGAGTCAGCATCAACAACAACAGTTCTTTTCAGGACTTTACTAACCTGGACGATCTACATCTACAAACATGTAACGATACTCCCATGTTCAAACCTTTCACTTTAAAGTAAAGTGATGTCACAGAGTAAAATAAACATTTCTTGTCTTAGTTTATGGTAAATATTATGTCACCCAGTCTTCATGTTTTCAAGTTAGTATTCTTCTCGTTTTACAAAGAAAACGAAACTACGCCGGGGATTTTCAGAAGTTGTCTGAACCCTGGCAGTATGTTCTAGTTT